CCTCATGCCGGAGGAAAGGGCAGCCATTCGCCGAAGAGATCGGCAAGATCCAGCTCCCGGTGTACCCCGTCGCAAGGGTGCCAGCCTCCAAGTAGGGGCTGGAGATCTCTCAGAATTACAGTTCAGCTCCAGACAACAAGGATTGGTTCCCCTCGAGAAAAGGGCAGCTTTGGAGGGTGGGCTCTGTGGCCCTCTCAGCCCTGGCCCCTCCCTGGTGGAATGAGCTCCCAAATGAGATCAGGACCCTGCGGGACCTTTTACAGTTTTTCAGGCCCTGAAAGACGGAGCTCTTCCGCTGGGCTTTTAACTGGAGTGACGGACGTCCCTCCCTCTTTTCTGAGCCTTCTCAGCCATGGCCCCTACCTGGTTGAATAAGCTCCCATACGAGATCAGGGCCCTGCGGGACCTTTTACAGTTCCGCAGGGCCTGCAAGACGGAGCTCTTCCGCCAGGCATTTAACTAGAATGACAGACCTCCCTCCCTCTTTTCTGGGCCTTCTTAGCCCTGGCCCCTACCTGGTGGAATGAGCTCCCATACAAGATCAGGGCCTTGCGGGCCCTTTTCCAGTTCCGCAGGGCCTGCAAGACGGAGCTCTTCCACCAGGCTTTTAACTAGAGTGACGGACGTCCCTCCCTCTTTTCTGGGCCTCCCCTCAGAGGGTCAGAACTGCTTACCAGAGATGGCATCTGGGAGACTTAATTCTAAAGACAACTGCACACCGGCTGAAGGTTATAGTTGTAATTTATTAGTGTTTTAATTGTATTTTTACCAATTCCTTTGTATTTTACATATTGTATTTTTATTCAGTCTGATGTAACCTGCCCTGAGCCTGCCATGCGGGGAGGGCAGGATAGAAATCGAATCAAATAAATACATAAATTATACCCTGTTAAGATCCCTCCCTTTTTCAAAACCCACCCTCCCCAGACTCCACCCAAAAAAATCCCGGAATTTCCCAACCCTAGCTCCGCCCCGCGGAGTAGGGGGAAAGCACATGGGAGTTATGAAGGATCAAGCAGTGGGTGTATTTCCCAACCTACGTCATTGCTGCTAACAACCGTAGGCATTCCGCGCTTTTGCAGCTCCGAAAATTCGGGCACGACCACCACTCTCCTAGTGCGCCTGTCTTCATTCTGGGGATCACCGTCGAAGGACCCTCCCCTCCCAACCTGGCCCCATCATGCCTTGTAGGAACCATCATGCATTGCTCTCCACCACTTGCCTGTTTCTTGCTGTCATTCAACAAGAGAACTGCCCATCCCAAGAGAGTGCTGGATTGGGGCGGGGGGGGGAAACATTGGAAAAGAAACCCATGCAAGCCTCTTGATTTAGATCATAGATGATAGAATGTTAGAGTTGGAAGGGACCTTGCAGGTCATCTAGTCCAACCCCCTGCACTCTACAGGAGCATAGCTGAAAGATAGCCCCACATACCTACAACGTACCGGAAAGACGGTCGTCCAGCCTCCGCTTGAAAACGTCCAGCGAAGGAGCAGCCACCCCCTCCCGAGGCAGACTGTTCCACTGCTCAACCCCTCTTACAGTTAGGAAGTTGCTCCTGATATTGAGCCGGTAACGACTCCCTTGTCATTTCCACCCATTAGATCTAGTCTTGCAATCCGGAGCAAGAGAGAATAGATCTGCTCCATCTTCTACATGACAGCCCTTCAAATACTTGAAGACTGCAATCATGTCCCCTCTAAGCCTTCTCTTTCCCAGGCTAAACAGACCCAACTCTTTCAGCCTTTCTTCCTAAGACTTGGACTCCAACCCCCTCGCCATCCTGGTTGCCCTCTTCTGGACACGCTCGAGCTTGTCAACATCCTTCCTAAAACGTGGTGCCCAAAACTGGACACAGGACTCCAGGTGAGGCCTGACCATAGCAGAATAGAGCGGATTTGATTGCTTTGATTTGATTTATTACATTTCTTCCCCGTCTTGACCGCTGCTAGGTGTAGAACAGCAAACTTTGAGCTGCAAGGTACGCTTTAGTGTTCATGCGCGGGCACTGATATGCATGTGCCATATGATGGATCCACTCCCTGGCTTGGAGTTACCTTTCTCAGAACTTTTGGGGAAGAAGCTGAACTTTGGCAAATGGCCCTACGAGCCGCCCCTGGAAACAGGATGTTGGATCAGGTGGGCCGTGAGTCTGAGCCAGCCAGAGTAACTGCAAGGGCCAGAATTCGGGGCAGAAGTTTGAAGCCCCAAATTAGGGGCTCAGCTGGGCATACCAAAATGCAGGCTGTGGCTACAAGTGCGACAGAGTGCAGTCGGATTGGCTTATGAGTAAATACGCTTCGGATCAGCTTACCCCCATGAGCATTTCTTACTAGAGATGGGGGGATGGGAGGAGAGGAATGTGTTGAATGTTTATTCTGTGCTTTGGGCTTGAAGTACGCATGGACATCTAAAGACGCCCCCACACACACAAGACCAGTGAGGCTAAAATGACCAAATGGCACCATTGGATCCAGCAGATAAATTTTTAGTTTCTAGCTAAGGTGAGGGGCCAGACGGACGTCCAGTGCCTTCTGGAATTGAGGAACCTGGAGATGTCAAAAGCCCCCTCAAAACAGTGATAATCCTCAACGGACTATTATTGAGCCCGCTGAGCCCACCCTCCAAAGCGGCCCTTTTCTCGAGGGGAACCAATCCTTGTTTTCTGGAGATCAAATGTAATTATTTGCAGAACATTAACGCATGCATTTTGGGAACATTTTTGTTGGGTTTTTCAACCCCCACCTCCTTCCAGAGAGAAGGAAACATTCCTTTTATGCATCTCCCACCAACGGGGTGCATCCAACACCGCCAAATGCACTGCTTCAAACAGGTTTTTGGTTTCCCCCAAATGAGGAACTCCTTGCCCGTAAAAAACGAAAAAGATACATGAAAACATTCAGACAGATTTTTGATTCCCCCCAAATGAGGAACAGCTTGCCCGTAAAAAACAAAAATGATAACATGAACACATTCATGCTCTCTCTCTAAATCCAAATCTCAAAAGGAACACTTTGCTCACTTCTTCTTAGGGTTGCGAAATGACTACAAAATAAACATTCTGGCCTGCTCTCATGCCCATCACAGGAACTTGACCTGTCCAAATTAGCTGCCGCTTTCCACGGCCGAACAAAAAAGATCCCTTGATAATATTTGTGGAGGTAGCAGAGCAGAGCAGACAGAGGATTTTTTGAAAAGTTGGCAGCTCGCCTCCCTGCCCGATCCATCGTGAAGCCTGTTTGCTATCAAACGAAAAGCAAAAGAAAACCCCACACCTGTTTTTTTTTAAAATCCCAGTAGGTATGAGAGGTAATTAATTCTCTTTTCCTCGACCTAAATGGGACTTAGCGAACGGCGCCTTTTGTTCCCTAGCCCCCTAAAATTTCATGGAACACCTGTCAAGCAACATCCATTGACCGAAGCTTGGATCAACAAGCCCAGACTCAAGTGAGACCCCCCAAGCTCTCCTTCCCTCGGTCCCCCCCCCAACGTTATACATTGTTGAATTCCCAGCAAGGGGATCTTGACCCTGTGACTGATTGCAATGAATTTTTACCTCTATTTTCTCAAAAAACTCCTTAACCCTCTCACTCCATTCTCAGTTATGTTCCTCGGGGGGTGTACTAAGCGGATTTCACTCGTTTTATTCCCGTTACAGCTGCCCTCGAGGTCAGCCAGCTGTTTACATGTTAACTTGGAGCAGGTGGGGGGGGGACGATTGAGGTGTACTCTCTTCTGGCTGACCCACAAAAGTTTGAGGCATCATGAAAGATAATTTTATTTTTAAAAATACCCTCCAGCAGTTAAGACGTGCAGCCTGTACTCCCCGAGACCGCTTGGCACCGAGGCCTACAGAAAGAAGCGAGCCATGCCGTTTGATGGATCTGCCGGGAAATTTGGAAAGAGAGCTAACCAAAAAAAGAATCTCTCTGTTGTGATCGAGAGAGGTCCCGGGAGCTCTGTCAGACTGGCGGACGGCGTCTTGGAATCCCTCCCGTTGGCACTCATCACCCGCCCCGACGACGGTGCCAAGAGCCGCTAAATATATATATATTCCCTCTTGCTCCCCAACAGAGTCATTTTAAAAATAAATCACGCCAAAAAAACAACAACACCAGAAATCATCCGACGACGGAAAACCAGAAGCTACTCTGCCGTGGAGGTGGATTCGACGGGGGAAAACCCTGGAATTGAAGAAATCTACCGAGGCCCTTTATGGAGGTGGTGGTGGTGGGTTTTCGACCCCTTCCTTAAAATTAAAAAAAGGTAGTGGAGGAACCGTGCTGGAGAAAAAGGGGTTTTCTATACTTGCTCAAATGCTTCACCGACGAGCAAACAGCTAGGCTGGAGTCCAGTGGCACATTAGAGACTGACAAGATATTCGGGGTACGAGTCGTCAAGAGTAGAAACTCCCTGAGATACAAGCCAAACATCCAAGCACCTGAATTGGCTTCTCCCCTCCCCCACACGTCTCCCATGCTGTTGTTGATAAGCCAGGATTGGGCCCCGTCTACAGCCCAATTAACTGGGAATCTTGGCATTGTGTGTCCCACTGAGAATCGGCTGCCTTCCTAAGCCCTACTGTGCAGACAGTTAAACACCCAGCTTTCATTCAGGATAGCTGGTTTCATTTCTCCCTCCCTCTCTCTTCGTGGAGCTCTTGCCATCTGCCGCTGCCTCCCCCCTCCTTCCTCCAGGATCCCTAGACTCTCACATGCCCGATGCCACTGCTCTAACCCGAAGAGTTCCACGTACGAGCGAATTTTCGGTGTGCGAAACGAATCACCCGATTCCTTCAGGGTGGTGGCAGCTACAGAGCCATCCACCGACAGTGCAATTTCACGCAACGCTTAGAGCTTTCTATTTCTCCCACCCTCTCCTGCCTGCTTGCTTGGCCCTTAGGCATTTGGCTTCTGAACCCCAATCCTCCCCCCACCCCACCCCGTCAAGACACCCAAAGAGACTTCAATTGTCAGAAATGGCCACACAAAAAGTCTTACCTTTGTGCATGCCGGTGTATTTATCCTTAATGACTGTCAGCTCATAGATTTTGCCAAATTGTTCGAAGATAGGTTTCAGGTCTTTCTCCTCTAAATTCCGGGGGATCTGTCCAATGAAAAGTTTGATGGCATCCGGTTCCTTCATTGGTCCAAAAAAGAGGAAGATGGAGCGAGCCTCGAATTCGGAATGGTACCCAAAGGAGGAGAAACAAAACCACCACCAAAAAAGCCCGAACGAAACAGAGGAATCCCCAACCTGGATTTGACAGTCTTCTCAGCGAAACAGACAAAGAGATCCAAAGCCACTTGCAGTCCAAGAGGTAGTTTCCCTCACCCCCCCACCTTTCCTCCAACCTTAACAGAGTGGCATTTTCGGTTCCACCGAATCCTTCGAATATTTCAAAAAAAAATAACGTATTTTCGCCTCCTGGTGCCAAAAAAGAAAAAAAGCAATTTAAAAAAATAAAACAATCTCCAACCCTGGGATTAAGCGAAGGATTCTACAGTTTGGCCTTTCTTCCTGGCTGGTGCGCAACCCCCCAATCCTTCATCCTAATTCTTCTGATCCAGCAATTATAAAGCTTGCGAAGCAGTTAATTAGTTTATCGATTAACTTTCCTCGAAGAGGTTGAGGATCTGCTGGTGGTGGGGGGGTCCTCCTTCTTGTTGTGGCTTTTTCTCCCCCCCCCTCCTCCTTCGCTTTCCTGTTATTGATCCCCTTCTCCCCCCACCATCACCCCCTTCTCCCTCCCCCCACTCTCCTCTTCCTCTCTCTCCGGACTTTCGGCCGCTTTCACAGGTTTGACGGTCCTGGCCTTTAATAGATCTTGAGCTCTGTTTCAAATCTTTTCTTGAGCAACAAAAAACCTCCACCACAGCCCGCCCTTCTTTTCCCCCTGACTAATAATCATGTCAGACTTAGGGACCGGCGGCAAACTACAAGCCCAGGGAGAGGAGGAGAGACAGAGAGTTTGCCTGATCGCCCAGAGGGAAATCTGTGTCCCTCACTCATTGGCTTTGGGAAGCCACCTGGATGCTTTGGAGCAGGATCCAACCCCAGAGGAGCATGACGACACCGTGTTTATTTCTCTTCCACGCCTTCGGATGGGGTTTGCTCCCAAATAATGGGAGGATTTTAAAAAAAAGAAGAAGAAAACAGGCTCTATGGTGGCAGTGAAGGGAGAGAGGGGCAAGCCAGGGAGGCCTTCAGCGTCTTGAGTTCAAATGTTACCTCTACCTGGAACTGGCTGATTAGTTTGTTCAAAGTATTTATGCTGGATCCTGCAGGGCGGATCCAGTCGTGGCGAGGCCTCCCCGGTCCTGCGAGCGTGGGAGTTCCATTTAGATAACATGAATGTGTCCGGTCCTTTTTAAAAAGCCATCGCAGGCCATTCCCACATGGGTTATCTGTCCCGAGTTTGATGCTTTGGGGAATCTGCGCCCCCCCCCCCCGGATTCCTTACAACATCTTTGCATTGTTGTGCTTCTCCAAGGGTTTCCTCGGCTTTTCTCTGATCTGTCTCAAACCTGTTGTTTTTTTTTAAGTTTTGGGAAAGATCACAGTAAAAGCCCGGATAGCTGCTGCGTGAGAGAGAAAATTTGGATTTTCTGTCCCACCTGGCTGCCATTTTCTCTGACCCTGTCCCCACGGCAGCCATTTTCTCTCACCGCCACATTTTTTAAAAAATCAGCACTAGAATATTGTTATCAAGGGTCATTTCCTGCAGGAGCGCACAGGAGCGGAGCTCCGGCAGTAAAGAGCCCAGGGGGCGGGCACATGCAACAAGCCCCACCCCCTGCTCCCAGCAGCCCTCAGTCAGAGCAAGAAGCAGCCAGGTAAGTTGCAGAGCTCCCCCCCCCAGTCCAAAACAGTCCAGTGGCACCTTTAAGACCAAGTTTTATTCAGGTACAAGCTCTCCCTCCTCTGTGAGGGAAGATCTGCATGTTCCCCCCCCCCCCAATACCTAGCAATCCAAAACAGTCCAGTGGAACCTGAGCGGTGGCCGTTGCCGTCTGGCACACTTCCAGTGATGTCAGGGGGTGTGGCATATGCAAATAAGTTATGCTAATGCGTTAGGCTAATGAGCTCCTGCACCTCTTTTTCTACGAAATGACCCCTGATTGCTATACTGATATACTGTTGCAACAATCGGTGAAGCAGGTTCTCTGGATTCTCAGCTTTCTTTCTTTTTTTAAAGTAAGTCTCGAGCCCCACTCCTTGCGAAGTGGAAAGGCATATCTTCACAAGGGAAAGGGATACATAACATTTTTAAAGATGAAGACTGGGAATTTGGAGAACCCGCTATACCTATAGTTACAACAGATAACAATGTTTTTCTCCCTCTCCCCAAAGACTAAAACGCGAGGCCATCCAATGAAGCCGATGGGCAGTAGATTCAGGACGGACAGAAAGAAATACCACTTTACACAGAGAGTGATTAAAAGGTGGGATTCGCCGCCAGAGGATGTTGTGATGGCCACAAGAATAAACAGCTTTAAAAGGGGATTGATGGACGATGGAGCTATTGATGGATGATGGAGCTATTAGTGGCTACTAGCCATGGTGGCTGAGGGGAACCTCCACGTTCAGAGGCACCAAGCCTCTGAATCCCAGAGCCAGGAGGTAACAGCAGGGGAAGGCCTCAGCCTCTCTGCCCTGTTGTTGGCCCTCCAGAGGAACTGGTTGAGGCCACTGTGTGAGACGGGATGCTGGACTAGATGGACCCTCACTGGTCTGACCCAGCAGGGCTCTTCTTAGGTTCTTCCCAGGGGAAGGCCTCGACCTCTCTGCCCTGTTGTTGGACCTCCAGAGGAACTGGTTGGCCACTGTGTGAAATGGGATGCTAGACTGGATGGACCCTCATTGGTCTGATCCAGCAGGGCTCTTCTGATGTTCTTCTCAGGGGAAGGCCTCGGCCTCTCTGCCCTGTTGCTGGACCTCCAGGGGAACTGACTGGCCACTGTGTAAGACGGGATGCTGGACTAGATGGACCACTGGTCTGACCCAGCAGGGCTCTTCTGATGTTCTTATGATATTCTAGAGCTGATTTAAAAAAAAATAAGCGGGTGGTGGTTGGGAGAAATTGCTGCTCTGGGGATCGGGTCAGAGAAAATGGCTGTTGTGTGTCCCGGGAGGGTGGGGGGGTGACCACTTGGGGACTGGGCCAGCAAAACTGCAGGGGAACCGGCCAAGTGGACGCCCTGTTGCTGCTGTGCTTTATCTGAAGCGGCACCAGCAGTGGGAAACCGCCGAATCCCATCCCTTTGCAGAAACCACCCAGACCGTCACTGCATCTTGTAGCGCTGAGTTCCATAAGATGAATATCTGTGGCATGATGCAGTGCCTCTTTTTTTCTTGACCTGATGCCATCGGGGGTTCCTGAGCAGTGTTCCCTCTAAGCCGAGTGAGTGTGTGTTAGCTCACAGTTTCTAAGCCTCCGGATCACACCTTTTTGTCTCCGCTCGGGAAGGAGGGCTCCAGAGCAAACTGATTCATGCAGTCGCCAAAGCGCTCGCTCACAACTTTAATGCCAGGGGCTCACAAAGTACAATCTTTACTCACAAGACTCCACAGTTTAGACGGAGCATTGATCCTGAGTTCTAACAGCCGTGACCGACTCACATGCTTTCTCTTCCCAACACCTGGCCAGGCAAAAGGGGGGGAATCAAGGTGCTTATGGAGCAGGCATTAGCGTTCTCCCCTCTTCCTTCCACCCATCATCACTCTCTTGTTAAACTGATCTGAAATGAATCCACGAACACAGAGGAATTAATTGTTCATTCTCCTTTGCATATTAAGCGACACACCCCTAATGTAGCCAATCCCTCAAGAGCTTACAGTAGCTCCTGTAAGAAGAGCTCTGTAACCTCTTGGAGGATTGGCTACATTAGGGGGTGTGGCCTAATATGCAAAGGAGTTCCTGCTACAAAAAGAGCCCTGGCCGCCCCCCGAACTTCACGCGCTTCGTTGACTGGAGTACATAGCGTGGTGAAAAAGAAGACGAAGACAACGACGAAGATGACAAAGAAGAAGAAGAGATTCGTATACTGCTCCCAGCATGAGGAGAAGAAGAAGAAGAAGAGGAGGAGGAGGAGATTGGATTTATACCCGGCCCTTCACTCGGAGTCACAGAGCGGCTTACAATCTCCTTTCCCTTCTCCTCCCCACAACAGACACCCGGTGAGGCAGGTGGGGCTGAGAGAGCTCAGAGAGACCTGCTCTTGAGAGAACAGCTCTGAGAGAACTGTGACTGACCCACGGTCACCCAGCTGGCTGCATGTGGAGGAGTGGGGACTCGAACCTTCCGTCTTAACTACTACACCAAACTGGCTCTCAAGTGTCTTGTGTGCACCAGAAGTCATTGGACAACCATCTCTAGGGTACACTCACTTCTACGGTTGCCATCTCCAGGTTTGGAGATCCCTGGAGATTTGGGGGTGGAGCCTGAGAAGGGTGGAGTTTGGGGGGAGGGAACTATATAGCACCATAGAGTCCCCCCCCCCACTCTACAGCAGCCATTTTCTCCAAGGGAACTGATCTTTGTAGTCTGGAGATGAGCTGGAATTCCAGGAAATCTCCGGATTGCCTGGAGATTGGCAACGCCACCTCTCCATACTTCCAGTAGACATTTGAAGTTTAAAATCAAAACTTGTAATCCAAACCTCTATTGTTAACTGCTCATGCCAGTTTGGTGTAGTGGTTGAGTGCGCGGACTCTAATCTGGGAGAACCGGGTTTGATTCCCCACTCCTCTACATGCAGCTGCTGGTGTGATCTTGGGTCAGTCATAAGTTCTTTCAGAGCTGTTCTCTCAAGGGCAGTCCTCGGAAGAG